CTTTTGAATTTCTTAGTTTAGTTAATCCTTATGATATTCAATCGTCTAAATAAAATTGGCACTATCATAATCTAGTACTTGATTAATTGGTTGTTTGGTCTCTTGGGATACGACCTTGCTTGCCACATACTACGAGCGAAGCCGTACACTTGCGGTCGAGCTTTAAAAATATAGGCGAACAAGTTTTTGGAGCTAAGCGAAAAGGAAGAGGATGTTCGTGATGAATTGGAGAAAGAACCGAATGGCATGTCGAAAAAAGGGGCTGAGAAGCTTAAATCTACTTCTAACTCTAATTCTCATAAACGTTCTGTTAATTTACCTTTTCCCCAAAGATTTCAGAAGAAGAATTTGGATGCTCAATTTGCTAAATTTTTGGATATATTCAAGAAAATTCATATAAATATTCCTTTTGCAGAGGCCTTGGAACAAATGCCAAATTATGCGAAATTCTTGAAGGATGTGATGTCCAAGAAGAGGCGAGTTGAGGATCATGAGATGGTGAACTTAACCGAGAAGTGCAGTGCAATCTGTTTGGACATATGAGGATCTCGATATGCACAAATCACGGACAAACATTCAACATAAACCTATGCGCAGCGGATCTAAAGGTTTGATGAAGAAAACTTACTGCTTAAAATTTATGTAGATCTGGCTGGCCCGAACAGTTGACCGCAAATCAAATCTTCTCGGAACCGAACAAACTTGACCAATCCAGAAAGCTGATGTCACGACGAAGTCAACGGCGTTGACCGATCGGAAAACGGAGGTCTCACGCGCTCTCACGCGCTCGTGTAAGCTCCGGCAGCTGCTCCCTTCCAGCGGCACGTGGCGGCGTGTGCGGCGGCGGCTGGCGGCGATCTCGACGGCGATCTCTTCGTCTCGTCGTCCTGGTCGTCGTGGTATGGTCACTTGCTGGTTTTGGTCTCCGGTTTGAATGTATGATAGATCTGATTGGAATCCCGTATATACCTTAAGATCTTCTACTGTATTCTCAAACAACTATCTAGATCTTGTATCAGTGGAGCACAAGAAATAGAACTACTCCTTGGAAGAGAGAGAGAGAGAGAGAGAGAGAGAGAGAGAGAGAGAGAGAGAGAGAGAGGGGCGGACGCAATTCCCAAGGTTGTGGGATTCTGTTCTTCTCTTCCATGAGCCTAATGCTGTATATATAGAGCTACCTAGGGATCCTAAAGAGAATAGGATAAGGGCTTCTAATATATTAATACTGTGGAGCAACCCCACAATTAATATATTAATAATATTAAAGTCCACCACAATAATATTATTGCACTCCCCTCACCTATCCCAAATTACATTTGAGACTCCTTATTATAATTATCCGATTTACCTCCCCATGTTTAAGATATAATTTCCATTAATTAATTCGTTCACTAATAATCAAGAATTAATTAATATATTATATTACCGAAGCTAGCGCTCGCTCATAGCATTCATACTATGCCGGAATAAATCCACCTGCAGGGTTTAGCATAATATTCCTGCATGAACTCACTTCGGGGACATCATCATACTAACGCACATGGTGACCGTAAATATCCTAATATCACATCGAACACATAATGTCATTACCCAATTCATTAAGTATGTCGACCCGGCTTGGACCTCACCCAAAGAATCAAAGCAACAACAATTATGTGCACATGACTATTTAATATCTTACGGGTTAAGAGCACGCAATAATTAACTGAGGCCTAGTTCGTTTACGACGATCAGTATAAAACGAACATCCCTCTTTGGGATCCTGTTCAATACATAAATGTACTAGTGCAACTAATCGGTCAAGACAAACCGTACGGTTGACACTACAACTGTTCCGATGGGTTGTTCAATTCCATCTAGGTTGTGAACCAATGATTCTTGTTTTGCAAGTAACTGATGTAGTGATCTTCGGTACGCCCGATGACGACCCACTTATCTACATGCAAAACAACAGAACGTGGAACTTATTTAACCAAACATAATTCTCATTCATCAAGAAATAACAAGTGTAATTTCCACTAAAGCAAAGATTAAGTATATAACACCAACAATCTCCCACTTATACTTGTGAAAAGCGATGTCTAATTTTAGTCATTTTGAATGTAATTGTGAAAAGCGCGCTCTGATTTTCATGTCAAAGCGGGGTGTTACATCGATTACATTATAATTGAACGAGATTGTACTGATTTGACTTCAATTATATTAATTTGACTTCAATTGGTCTAATTTGACTTCAATTACATTATTTTGAGTTAGATTACATTATAATTGACGGAGATTGTACTAATTTTACTTTAATTGGACTAATTCGAGTTCGATTACATTATAATTGACAGAGATTGTACTAATTTGACTTCAATTATATTAATTTAACTTCAATTGTTCTAATTTGACTTTAATTACATTAATTCAAGTTTGATTACATTATAATTGACCGAGATTGTACTAATTTGACTTTAATAACATTAATTCGAGTTCGATTACATTATAATTGAACGAGATTGTACTAATTTGACTTCAATTATATTAATTTGACTTCAATTGGTCTAATTTGACTTTAATTACATTAATTCGAGTTTGATTACATTATAATTGACCGAGATTGTACTAATTTGACTTTAATCACATTAATTCGAGTTCGATTACATTATAATTGAACGAGATTGTACTAATTTTATTTCAATTATATTAATTTGACTTCAATTGGTCTAATTTGACTTTAATAACATTAATTCAAGTTTGATTACATTATAATTCACCGATATTGTACGAATTTGACTTTAATCACATTAATTCGAGTTCGATTACATTATAATTGAACGAGATTGTACTAATTTGACTTCAATTATATTAATTTGACTTCAATTGGTCTAATTTGACTTCAATTACATTATTTCGAGTTAGATTACATTATAATTGACGGAGATTGTACTAATTTGACTTTAATTGGACTAATTCGAGTTCGATTACATTATAATTGATAGAGATTGTACTAATTTGACTTCAATTATATTAATTTGACTTTAAATGGTCTAATTTAACTTTAATCACATTAATTCGAGTTCGATTACATTATAATTGACGGAGATTGTACTAATTTGACTTTAATTGGACTAATTCGAGTTCGATTATTAATTAGATTAATACGATTGTACTAATTTAATTTTAATTGGACTAATTTTACTTTAATTAGATTAATTCGAGTTTGATTACATTATAATTGACCAAGAATGTACTAATTTGACTTTAATTAGACCGAGAACGAGTTTAATATCTTCATAGTGTGTTATACGACGATGGAGTTTAGTATCTTCATAATGTTTTTTTTAAGAAAAATGTTAGATCATGTAAAACGAAGGATTTCTAAGTCGATATCCCGGAATTAAAGTGGGTAACATTTCATTAATTTTATACAAAAGCAAAAAAAAAAGAAAATTAAAAAAAAATAATAGGCCCGCGACAGCCTACGTGTCGCGGCCGTGACGGGACATCGCGCGGGGCTGTGGCACCATTTTTGGTGTCGCGCCCGCGACACCATATCACGCCCGCGACGTCCTGGAGGTGGCCTTTTAAAACTTGGTTTCCAAGTTTTTTTCTACTCATTCCATCCATTTCAAAAAAAAAAAAAGCCACGCGATAATAAAAAAAAACCCTCCAATCGATTTCATTCCTTTCATCAACAAGTTTCGACCGGCGACAACACCACCTCCGACCAACTATTTCGACTGACTAGGACACTCTTTCCGGCGACTTATATTCCGGCAAGGTCACAATCTCGTAAGCCTTTTTTGTCAAAAGCCCATTCCGACAAACATCGTCCTCTCGGCTTCAACGCACGGTAAGGTCATGCTAATTGTTTGAAGAGTATATAGTTACAACCATTAATTGTTTGTGGTTTGTGGAATCGAACTCTTTTCTTTTTTCACAATTTGCAAACACATTATTTCGCACACAACGTGTTCGACAAATTGACACAACTAGGCAAGAGGGCTATATCGTTTGCATCTTCTTACTTCATTCGTGTATTCCATACCGATCATGGGAAAGGCTTCGTCATCAAAAGCTCCTGCCAAAGCTCCCTCCAGAGGCAAGAGAAAAGCAATTATAGCAACCCCAACCCCAACCCCACCTTCTTCACCGGACTCAAACAATAGCAACTCACACTCGGATGCCGAAACTCAAACTTCGGCTCAAAGGTACGACATTCCATTCCCAGTTTTCTCTCAAGATGAGGTGTACTCATACAAACGCCTCATGAAAATGAAATGCCGGATCCCAAGGACACTTGATTGGGAGTTGCTAGACTCGCTAAAAATCTCGGTTGACGTGAGGAAATACTTGAAGGCCCTCAATCTTGAAAAGTACGAAGCCATGGACAATGTGGCATGCGTGGAACTAGCGGTTGAATTGTTTACCACATTTGTACCACACGACAACGGCAAGTACTTCACTTGTCGGATGAAAGGTAATGAATACAAAGTTGATAACAAGGTGATGCATGAGGTATTTGGTTTCCGCACGACGGGGTCTCGCAAAGTACCCAGTGATTTTGAGGTGGACAAGCCTTGGTCCGTTCTCTCTCCATGCGATAAATTCAAAGTCAAGGGCCATCGAATGGGCTAATCAAAGATGTGGCTATTGCGGTGGTACATAAATTTTTATGCTACAACGGTTTTGGCAAGAAAGATTCCAATAAGGTTAGCGAGCAAGAAGTTTATTTCTTGGGGGCAATGACTGCAAAGAAGCCCATTTGCATGACTGCATTCATTATAGAGACACTCCGGTGCACGAAAGTCTTCGCCGCGCGCCCTCCGAGATTGGCCAATATCGTCACCGTGCTCGCTAAGCACTTCAATGTTCAAATTGATGAAGTGTCGCTTCAACCGAAGAAGATCGGGTTGTGGGATTTGACCCAAGCCTATCTCATTGAGGACAGCGCTACGATCATTGATTATAAAACTCGTCCTTGCTACAAGGCACATTTGTGGGAATTGAAAAAATCATCCGGAGAAGGTGGTTCCTCGCAGACACAACCTCATTCCGAAGACGAGGCAGGGGACGAGGCGGAGGACGAAGAAGAACAGGCCAACCTGGCGAACTATTTCCTCCCTCCGACAGTTGACGCGGGCGCTCTGGACGCGCGATCTCAACAAGCCCCCGCTTGGTTCGATACATTCATCGAGAATAATGATAGGCATTGGGTGGAGCACAATGCCATGATGCGTACGTACATCGAGGGCAATAGTAAAGAATGGGCACAACACAATGAACGATGGACCTAATGGGAGTCTAAGCAATTTGATCAGTGGAAACAATGGGACGACCAGTTCCAGCAATGGGACGTTCGCTCGAGTTCAAGCACCAGACTACCCTCCCCCCCACCTCCACCTCCACCATCGGTTGCACCGGACGCACAGTTACAGTGCATTGTTTTTAAGCAAAGACTTTTATTCCAGACTTCATAATTATCAGTTTTATCTTTTGGTTTTGGTTTGACTTATGGATTTGGTTTGTCTTTTTTGGATTTGTATTTTCTTATGGATTTAGATTGTCGTTTGGATTTGATATTTGATTTTGTTTGTCTTTCGGTTTTGGCTATGATCTTGATATGATTGATATGATTTGCATTATATGTATTGCGATGTTTTGGCTATGATTTGTTTCAAAATGAACAGAAAGATAATCTACTTTATAGGTATAACGATAGTTTAAGGTGTTATAAAACGAACTAAGGTCTCGTTTAAGGTAGAATTGGTCGAAAAACAACTATAACGACTGTGCAGTCGTTATTTCAATGATATAACGAATGTAAAATCGTTATTTTTTGTTTGAAAAATGGAAATAATAAATGCGCTATCTTTTTAAATTCGCTATTTTAACTTGAAAAATTATCGGAAATTAGACCGAGAACGAGTTTTATATCTTCATAATGTATTATACGACGAAAGCACGATCGTTTAAGGTGGATTTGGACGAAAAACAATCATAACGAATGTACAGTCGTTATTTCATTGTTATAACGAATAAACATTCGTTATAGTTGTTTTTCGAAATGACAGAACCATTGTCCAGGTCGTCGCGGACGCGACACTTGTCGCGGGCGCGGCTCACATATGACAGAACATAAGCCAAGTTCGTCGCTGGCGCGACGCCGGTTGCGGCCGCGACACAGAGGCTAACAGACATGTTGCCAGGGCGTCGCGGGCGTGATAGTTGTCGCGCTCGCGACACTGGCGATGACAGATCTGTTGCCAGCCCGTCGCGGCCGTGATGAACGTCGCGCCGCGACATGTGACTTTTTTTTGAAAACGAACGTTCATTCGTTATTTCGTACAAAATAACGATTATACATTCGTTATATTGAAATATGCATATATCACGGCCGTGACGTTTGTCGCGGACGCGACACTAGGACCTGTCTAAAATGGACAGAGAAAGTTGTCCCAGAGTCGCGGGCGCGACAGACGTCGCGGCCGCGACAAGCAATTTTTTTTTTTATTTTTTTTTCAAAATAACGAATTGTTCATCGGTTCCTCGACTTATTTTCGGGAGCTCGACATCGAACCCTTTCGTTATTTATTACATTAAAACTTCTCGTTAACGTAATATTTTTAACGAAGTTGATTAAAAAACATAACTATTACATCTGCAAGTACTTATATCACATGAAAAACTATTGCATTGAATAACACATGAAAAAATAATACAACAATGTATTATCCAAAAGATCTCGTTACATAATAAATGTTTAAAACAAACTATGGATCAAAATGAACACCAAAATATCTCAGCAGCTAGTTTTTCATGCAAAACATTAATCCGAGATTGATCTACGTCTTCAACATTCTTCCCAGCATACAAAAATTCTATAAACTTGATTGTAAACATCCCACAATCAACCCTGCACCATAAATGTACAAATTCTATTAATTTACCAAGTTTCATAATATAGTTAAAAACCTAATATGATCAAAATATATAATACACGTACCCATTGCTTTAGCTAGGAGCTGTCAACCATTTGTACTCAAACTTTTCAGCACTGTAGTCAGCATTCAACTGCATCAGTAGCATCGGTGCAACAACTCGAATGGGCTCAAGTTGCTTCTCCAGTTCTGCCCTCCGCATGACACTTGTTTCGCTATCGTATACATAAATGCATCTCAGGGATAGATCAATCTCCAGCGTGAGCCAGTGGCCATTGCCCTCTTTGCAGAAAGGAACATACAATTTCGTACAGGCAGTCCACGGCTTTCCATTATTGGGTATCTCCCCTCTCGCGTATTTACTCAAGGCCCTCGATAATTGTTTAGTCTTCGACATGTTCTTGAAGAAGTTTCTCACGTACGGGACAAAAAACGTGTCCAAGACAACACAATCTTGTCTAAACAAGTGAGGGAACTGTTTACCACGCTCTCGAATGTGAAAAAGCGCTTCATCTACATGCTAAGAGTATAATAATGTTTATTAGATTAGCGAATATCATGCTTTTCAAATTTAAAATATTGAATAAATTTTTGTAAATAGTTTTACCTCAGTAGAAAGCCATCCATCGTTCACAAGTTCATTGAAAAAATCTTTATCTGCTCGACCACCATAGGACATCTCAAAACTACATAAAAAAATCAATACATTAAACAAAGACATATAACCTTATATATTACAATAAGTAGCCCACAATTAAATTAACACAATTACATACCTTTCAGGGGAGCTCGACAACCACGTTTGGAGATCTTCAAGTTTAGCTGGATCCACTGGTCTAAAAGGGTCGTACTTCATCACAGTTGTAAATTTTTTTCTTTTTTCAATATTCCTCCACGGAGTACATAGAACGGCGGCTTTTCTTTTCTTCCGGTGCCCTCTCCCCTTAGGAGACTCAAGTGGATCGTCTACAACGATTTTCTCTATATTTATTGGTGTCGGCTCTATCTCCACTAGTGTCGGCAGTTGTCTCTCTTTGTAAACAACAATGGCTGATGACGAGCTGGTCATAAAACCTACAATAAGCAAAAAAAAAAAAAAAAAAATAGTCAATACTCATATATTTACATGAATGCACCATTACACTACGTAGTAGTTACAATTATATTTTACATACATACCCGCATCATCATTAAGTCCAGCCATTTCTTGCTGGGGCATCGGAGATGGTGATTTCACCGTGTCTGCGAAAGAGAAAAAAAAAATAAGTGATTCAATAACATGTAGCATTTGTTTTAAAATATTACAAATTATATTTTACAATTCTATTTTTTTTTATTAAACGAATAACAACATTAATATGATGCATTTATTTAAAAAAAAAATACCTTCAACACAATCTACACTTCGAGCGGTCTCCGTATCCCGCATATTAATCTCCGGATCAACCTCTTCATCAAAATTTGTCCCGTCATAGGTAGCACGGGTAGATGGACCATCATTTGCTTGAAAAACTAATTTTTCTCTTCGGTCATAAAAATTGTTCATCTTCGTCTCCATATTCATCTCCATTCGGTCCATCTTCATCTCCATCTTCATCTCCATTCGCTCAGAAAATATTCTCATCTCGTCCTTCACAACTTCTGTCACAACTTCCTTGACTATACTTCGAACATTTTCAGCATAAAAAACTTGCGGTTGTGGTGGATATGATTGAGATGCATCATTTTTTTCTTCTTCCTTTTCCTCCTCTTCCTCACCCCCCTCATCCTCATCCTCATCCTCATTTTTTTTTTCTTCTTCTTCTTCTTCTTCTTCTTTTTCTTCTTCTTCCTCATCTTTAGGGATAATTGCTTCTTCCTCGGTTATACCGAATTCCTTCAAGTATGAAGTTTCAACTTCATCACTTGAGGGTTGTAACGTTCGTCGAACTTCAACCTGATTGTAGTATAATTATTTTTTTAAAAACTATAAGAATAAATAAGATGACTTATCTATAACCAAAATTACCTCCGACGCGTCGAAAAACATACTAATTTGCTCTCTTCGCCACTGTTTACTCATTTTCCAAGAAATCATTCTCGGAAGTCTGCCACCACCATAAGTTTGACCAAATTTTCTTCCAAGCTCAGGCAGTGCCTCAAATGCCCAAACCTACTTAGCAAACAACAAAACAAAATTAAGAATACAACTAACATAAATAAATAAAAAAGAGCATAAATATAAATAAGAACAAATTAAGAAAAATACCATGATAGCGAGGGGAAATCCATGCAGAGAATACTTTATCGCATTTGTTTTTTTTTTAATACCCAAAGTCTTCCGTTTGAACAACTTTACGTTGTACTCGTACGACAAGTTCCCCCAAGGATAGTTATTAAATTGTTCCAAATCTTCAACGAGATGAAACCATCGTTCATCCACAAGAGTCCTGTTGGGTTCTGTTAGGAACGTCAAACAACATGCACAGTATTGAACTTTATC